GGATCCCCTCAAAGGATCCCACTCGCACCCCCCTGACCCTCACAGATCCCGTCAGTTTTCCCCCCAGATCCCATCACGGGACACCCCCCATTCCCCGTCACTGACACTCGCCCTCCCTCACACCCCGCGCCCCTCACGCCCTCCGTCCCCCGCCGCACCGATCCTGGAGGGCCCATCGCGGAGGCTCAGGGCGGGCGGGCAGAGCGCGGTGAGCAGCAGCGGCAGCGGCAGGAAGCGGCGGAGGCCCGGCATGGCGCCGGAGAGGGCAGAGGGCGATGGGCGGGCCGGGAGCGCGGCCCGGGCGGCTGCGGGCACTGCCAACATCAGGGACGCGGGGAAAGCAGCACACCCAGACGCGCCGCTGGTGTAGTGGTATCATGCAAGATTCCCATTCTTGCGACCCGGGTTCGATTCCCGGGCGGCGCACTCCGTTTTTGCGTCCCACTGAATTCTTTTATCCTGAATTCCAAAGTCCTTTCTTTTACTTTATTTGAAATCCTTTACTTTTAATTACTTTCGTTTAACTCCTTTGTTTCAATTTTCCTGCCCTTGTAGAAGATGCCCCCTTTCTCGGTTCCCACGTATACCTTTTCACCTTTTTAATCGCATTACTTTTAATTACTTTATTTTTTAACGCTTCCGTTTAAACTCCTTTCGTTTAAGCCCTTTTCTTGTAATCTCCTTTATTTTTAGCTACCTTATATTAACTCCTTTATTTTTATTTCCCCCTCCCCCCAAGGCCTCCGTTCCCGGTCCCCACACGAACCTTTTCACCCTGCTTTTAAACCCTTCAATTTTGATTCTTTCATTTTTAAATCCTTAATTTTTAATTCCTTTAATTCATAAATTTTAATTCATTTATTTTAATTCATTTATTTTAGCAATCTTTATTTTAGTAATCTTTATTTTAGTCCCCGCATTTTACAAACTTTATTTCCCCACACTGGTGCCCCGTTCCCGGTGTCCAGGTGCCCCTTTTCACCGCGATTTTACTTTCAATTTTTTCATTTTAAATCCTGTAATTTTAAACACCTTCATTTTAAAGGCCTCTATTTTAACTCCTTTATCTCCTTTACTTTAACTCCCTTTATTTTTATTTCCCAGCCCTGCTGCCCCCTTCCTGGTGCCCGCATGTCCCTCACCCTCATATCCCTTTCCATCGCGGTTTTAATCAATTAATTGTATTAATCCCTTTTAATGAAATTATTAATTGAATTAATCCCTTTTAATTATTTTCTTTTTAATTCCTGAATTTTCAATTCCGTTCTTTTAACACCTTTATTTTCACACCTTTACTGCCATTTCCCCGCGCTGATGCCCCCCGTTCCCTGTGCCCGCCAGCACCATTTCACCCCGCTTTTAAGTGCTTTCCTTTTAACCCTTTTATTTTCAAGCCTTTTCTTTTAAATCCTTTCATTTTTAAATTTAAATCACTTCACCCCTTTGCTATTTTAAATCAACTCTCACCACTTTTCCTCGCCATCCCCTCACGGCCGCGCATGCGCAGAGCGGCCGCGCGTTCCCGCGCCGGTCCCGCGCTGCCCACAGCCCGGCCCCTCAGCCCGCCCAGCCCCTCACACCCCCCCCGGCCCCTCAGCCCGCCCGCCCGCCGCCATCTTGCGAGGAGCCGCCGCGGGACCGTCCGCCGGCGGGGCCGGCGCCGCTCGGGCTGCCCGGGCTGCCCAGGGCTCACGGGGCCGCCCCGGCGGGCGGGAAGAGCCGGGGCGGGCGGCGGCGGCGCCATGGAGGATGAAATGCCCAAGACCCTGTGAGTGGGGAGGGGGCGAGACCGCCTATTGTTCCCGGCTCCGCGGGGAGGGGCGGCTCGGGGTCGCCTCACGGACGGGGCCCCTCAGGGCTCCGCCGCGGACCCTTAGCCGCCCGCAGTGCTGCGGGAGCGACCCCCGCCCGGGGCTGAGGGGTAGCCGGCCCCCTCCGGCAGCGAGGGGAGCCCGGCTCCCGCGGTATTCCTGCCCTTTCCCCGTTCGCAGTGCTGGGCACCTCCAGCCTCCCCTACGCTCCGGGCGTTACCCTGGGCCTCCAGCTCACATCTGGAGGGACAGGGGTGTGTGGAAGCTGTGTGTCCCTTCCCCAGTACATCCCAACTCACATCTGGAGAGAAAAGGGGTCTGGAAGGTGTGTCCCCTTTCCCAGTCTATCCCAGGTCATATCCGGAGGGAAAAGTGATCTGGAAGGTGTGTCCCCCCTCCTCTTGGATAGAAAGGGGGTCTGGAAAGTGTGTGCCCCTCTCCCCAGCCCAGCCCAGGTCACATCTGGAGAGAAGGGCAGTGTGGAAGGTGTGTCCCCCTCCCTGGTACATCCACGCTCACATCTGGAGGGAAGGGGGGTCTGGAAGGTGTGTGTGCCCCCCTCCCCAGTCCACCAGAGCCCATGGCAGGGGATAGAAATGGATGATTCGAGTCCCTTCCACCCCAAGCCGTTCCATGGTGAGGATCCTGTCCTTCTGCGTGGTCCATGTAGGTTTTTGTGAGAAACTGGCTGGATTTTGCCCTGTGGGTGTGGGGGCTACCCTGGCAAACAGCTGGAGCCCCACTGCCCTGCTCAGCAGCTCCGTGGGAATGACCAGCACGTGCCCATGGATCCAGGGCTTGTCCCAGTGTTCAAAGCACTCTCTGGACCTGTTGCTTCCCAAGGAGTGAATTAAGAAGCCACATCAGGGGAGGTTCAGGTGGGATTTTAGCAAAGCGTGCTGGTCCTGTGCACACCTGGGTTGCATTTCCCTCCTTTTCCCAGGCAGGTGTTACCTGGAGTAGCTTTCCCACGTTTGGATCAGGGAAATCAGGCTCCAGTCTTCCCATGCCACCTCTAGAAGCCTTCTCCATTCCAGCAGGAAAGACAGGAGGGAGAGAGGGAATCGTTCCAAGGTGAGGGACTGTTGTGCCCTTGGACTGCTGCCCCTCCCCAGGGCTTGAGTTGGCCGAGTGACCACAGGACAAGACCCTGACGTGCCTGACCCCGGCTGTCCCGAGCACTCACCACTCTCTGCCTCCCCAATCCCGTTGTTTTCCCACATTTTGGGAGCTATTCCTGGCTTGTGCAAACACAGAGCTGCCAGTGTGTTTGTGTGTTTATTTGGGAAGATGTTTTCTCCCCCCCCATCCCAAGGGTCGTGCCAAGGGGCCTGGTGGCCTTGGCGTGTGCCAAGGAATCCAAGTGCCTGTCCTGGGGCACGTGTGGCTGGTGGCACAGACAGGGAATCACTGAGGCTGGGAAAAACCTCCAGGATCACCCAGTCCTGCCTTAAAACACAGCTCAGGACTGGGCAACGTCCAGGGTGGGATTTCTCTGACTCCCTCCCTCCCTGTGTGACTTTCTGGGGTCACACAGGGAATTGTCCCCTGCTGGGTGTCACAGGTCAGGTTTAGAAGGAGCAAAGTGCAGCTCAGGTGATCTTTAGTGGGTGTTAAATCCGTGCTCACACGGGGGTTTCTGTAGGATTTCTGTTCCAGAAACTCCCTCAAGTGTGGATTTCGGGGTTCCCTCACTTATGTGGCCCCCAAACCCCTCTCCATCTTGATTTTTCCTTCCCAGACATTCCTGGAAGTAACTCCTTGCTTTTGCCTTTTCCACCTCACCTGTGTCAGTGAGGAGCAGTCAAAGGCAGAAAGTTGGGATCTTTAGTGGGTGTTAAATCTGTGCTCACACAGGGATTTCTGTAGGATTTCTGCTCCAGAAATCCCCCCCGGGTGTGGATTTTGAGCTCCCTCAGCTGTGTGGCCCCCAAGGCCATCTGCACCCATAACACATTCCTTAACACATTCCAGTTGTTTTTCTGGAGCAGATTGCAGACACTCCTGGAAGTAACTCCTTGTTTTTGCCTTTTCCACCTCACCTGTGTCAATGAGGGGGGTGCAGAGCCCTGTGTTCCCTTAGGAGCTGTTTTTCCTCGTGTAAATGAATTCCTGGAGGGGCAGCTCCCTTCCTTGAAAGCCACTTTTCAGCAGCAGCTGATGGATCTGCAGAGCAGTTTGGAGGTGGCAGAGTCCTGTTGTTTGTGTTTTCCATGGATGCACGTGGGATACGTGTCCTAAATTAAATTAATTTGTGGTCTGAAGCACGCATAAGCTCTGGCAGCAGTTGGGTTTGGCTTCTCAAGATAAACTTGGATAACACAGCCCTTCATCTGCAGAGTCATCAACCCACTCGTTAATTGGATTCTTGTCCAATTAGCAGGAAAGAAAGGGGTGGGAGAGGTGCAGGAAGAGCCAGGACTGAGCTCTTGTGTTACCCAGTGCTGCCTGGCAGGGTCACCTGAGTGCTGGGTCATGTTTGTGTGAGTGGCCCAGGACAAGGTCCAGGTGTGCTGAAAATTCCATGGAAAAGTCAGGGAGTGGTTCATGGCACAGCTCTGAGTGTTCCCCACCTGCCTTGGCACACTCTGTGTACACACAAATATTCCTGCAGTGGATCCTTCAGGAACACAGAGATTGGTGGGATTTTTTGGAAATCACTTCCCTAAAACCTGCTAAAGCCAGTGCTGAGGTCAGGAATATTTCAGGAGAGGCCTGTTTATTGGGATGAAATCCCATCAGTCAGAGGTCAGGGGGTGGACACCCTGCTTGGGAACCTTCCAGCCACAAATTCATGAATTTGCACCCAGAAGGTCACACGAGGCTCTTCACATTGATTTGTTATCCAAATAATTTTAATATTAAAAAAAAAAGGGAGTTAAAGAGAGGCCTTGCTAGTTCTGCTCTGGTTATCAGGGTGGTGATGGGTCAAAGGTTGGACTCGATGATCTTGGGTCTTTTCCAGCCTCTCTGATTCCCTTCTCAGTTGGACTTGCTGGGGAGAGAATGTCCTGGTGTTAATTGCCTTAATGAACTGCTCTAATCCCTCCTTTTTTAAAGGTTTTAAGGAAACCCGTCAGAAGTGCAGGAATCACTCACTT